GCTGTGTGCCAAGCCCGGTTCTGAGCACTATTCGTGCATTAGCTCATTTAATCCTCACACACTCTGAAGCGCATACATTTACTCTAGTCTTTTTACCAATGGGACACTGGAGGACTTTGCCGGAAGTCCCGAAGTTTCACAGTAGCAGAGGCCAGGTTTGGACCCAAGCAGTTTGGCTCTGAAGCCAATATGATTAGCCACCGAGCTTTGCTGCTCCTCCAACCTGGCTGTGTCCTGGGCCTCTTCTGGGTGGTGACAAGGCCCAGAAGGTACCAGAGGCCCCTGGACATGGGTGAGCGCCCCACAGGCTCATGGCGCTATCTGGGGGTCCCTCACAGTCTCTGTGACAAGGGCTTGGGGCCTGGTGGGTGGCTTCTGCCTTTGTCTTCTCTTGGCCAAACCTTGAATCCTTTGAGGTTTTGCCACCTTCTCATGTTCTCTGATTATTTTTTCGTTTCAACCAAGAAGTCTGAACTGAGCCATGTGGTCCAACAAGTGTTCTCCGTTTGGAGGAGGGGGTGGGGGGTGGGGTGGGGAAGAAATCAGCCAGAGCTAAAAATATGCTGATTCTGCTGCCCTCTGGCGTTCAGTGGGGAGCCTGCAGGCTCGCACAGCTCTGAATCGAGGTGGGAAAAGGCTTCTGTGGAGTAGAACCTTGTTCTCTTGGTGAGAGGAGCAAGGGAAATGGGAAGTGCAATGCATTTTGGGAGCCGTGGTTATGCTTCCAGAAGCAAGCAAGATTGACCCAGTAAGTCCCTGGAAGCGTGTCTCCATGTCCCCTCTGACCAGCCTCAGCCCTTCACTGGCATTCTGTGGGGCTGAAAACCCAAACCCAAAGAGGATTCCAGCCACAGGTCAATCCAACTCCTACATTTTATAGAAGGGGAAACTGAGGCCCAAGATTAGAAAGCCTTTTAATACTGGAGCTTGATTGCCAATGGGCTTCTGACTCCAGTTTCCCTTCTTTCCTCTTCCTCCTCCTCCTCTCCCTCCTTCCCTTCCCCCTCCTGCTCTTCTTCCTCCTTTTTCTTCCTTTTTCTCATCATCATTAAAATCTCTGTCACCCTAATGGTTAATACAGATAAGCACTTGCTGTGGACCACTTAACTGTATCACATTGGCTGTAGTATTTAATGCAATAATATAGAAAGATGGTTCTAACCGATATGGTGGAATAAAAACTAAGGCTCCGAGAGATAAACTACTTGCACAATTACACAACAAAATAAGTGGCCTACTTTCTAGTCCTGCTGGAAGGCTTTCAACTCTGCTCTCTGTGCTACGCTGGACTAAGGACAGAGTGTTAAAAAAATTCCTGGAGCTTGCAGGTGAACAATAATAGTATTTACTATGTGCCAGTACTGTGCTCAGTGAATCACGTATATTAACTCATTCAACCTTGTACCGTTCCTATAAAGTAGTACTTTATAGTGCTATTATTATCTCCATTTTACAGATAGGGAGACCGAGGCACAAAAAGATTTAATAATTTGTTCTGAGTGGCACAGATAGTAAGTAGAGTGACAACATTCCAGCCTAAGCTGTCTGGCTCTGTTGCCCAGGCCCTCGACGATTGCTAGACTGACTCTCCCTAAGTCAGACGGGGAGCCAGCTCTGAACTGACGACAGACTCTAGCTCTCCCAGATCCCCTTGAGCAATGGGAAGACGACATCAAGTTGCCAAGGCCCTCGTTCTGGGGTCTGGAGCCACAGGATGACATAGGAGGTAGTGTCCCCCTTCCTCTCCATCTCCTGAGTTCAGGAACTTCCTGGCATTGGTATCTATTTAAATTTCTTTATAATTTCTTTCTTGTCACCCATACCCACTAGAATGGAAGCACCACAGGAGTGAAACTCCCTCAGTGTCTAGTGCCTGGTAGCAGTCGGTGCTGAACATATATTTGTAGAATCTACTTCGATGAGGTTAAGGGTGACCAGAGTCAGAAAGTGGGGGAGCAAGACAGGGCTGGCCTGTCCTGTCTCTGGGGCAACTGTGACCACTGGAGCTACGGATGACTCCCAAGCAAGAGAGATAATGATGGCATGGGGAAAAGGTGCCTTGGGAGAGAGTTGATGGGACGGCAACATTCTGGGGAAGCAGGAATGGTCTCAGAGGGGATCCCGAGCCCTGGCTGACTACAATAAGATGTCCTTTCTGAAGTCCTTCCAAACCTGAGTAAGAGATAGACCCCATTTTCAGTGCCAACAACAGAGATCCATTGTACAGGGGGAAGCAGTGGACTCAAGGAGAAAGGAAAGCCTGGAGAAAAGTTCAGGAGACAAAGTGGGAAGCCAGGTGCCATGCTGGGTGAGCCGCGCATGGTGAGGTCGTCCCAGACTCCAAAGTCCGGCAGTTGGGACTCAGAAGGTCTATGAAGAGACTTATCCTCTCTGTTCCTCCTTGTCCTCATCTGTGGAATGGGGATAATAATAACTCCTACCTCTTGGGGTTATTATGCGGATTGGGTGAGGTGCTACATGTAGTGTGTCTAAGACAGCGCCTGGCACAAAGCAAGTGCTATATAAGCCTTAGCTCCTGGAATATTCCTGCAGTGTCTGTTCCTGTGCCTATTACCACAGAGAGCCACCCTTGAGCAGTGGGCTGGGCTGTAAGGGCATGGAAACCTCCAGCTGGGAAACTGAAAGGACAGTCAGGCAGTCAGGCTCCGGAGGCCAGCTAACAACGTGCTCCGTGTAACTCCCCAAAGCGGCAGGATGGGTTCATGGTCAGGACGGAAGGCACCAAGTCATCCAGGCCTGAGTTTGAATCCTGACCTCCTCTGTTTCCTGGCAGTTAGGTATTTGGGTTTGCCACTTAACCTCTCTGTACCTCAGTTTCCTCATTTGTAATGTGGGAGACTACAGGTTAAATATTTAGAATGGCACTCAGTGCTAGTTTTTATCACTACCATAGGCAGTAGAGAGCTTTGCACCTCTTATCTATGGAAACAGCTCTCTAAATGGATCTTTATTAATGCTGTTGAAGTAAGCGTCTTGTTTTGGTGGAATGTGGAAGATTCTTGCCTGATGCTTCTATGTATAGATCATGGCTGGCATTTCCCCAGGCTGGCCACTAGATGGCATGCATGCCCTTTCCCACCTGACCTGAGCTGGGCCAGAATCAGAAAGAAGGTGCCAGAGATGGAAAGCTACCTTTTATGGGCTAGACACTGGGCCAGCCCTTTGCCTACATTCTTATTGACTCCTCACTGTAATACTCAGATTAAAAGAGATATTGAACCAAAATAGTAAGCATAGTGGATGCCACATGGTTAGGCCTCAAGAAACATCTTCTTCCTATTACTGTTGTTATTATTGCCATTTTTACAGTTAGGACTGAGGCACAGAGAGGAAAAGTAGGTAGATGGAGCCTGGATTCCAAGCTAGACCTTACTGACTACAAGTTCAGCATCTTTTCTCTAAACCTCATTTCAGGGGAAGCATTGGATGGCTGGACCTCACTTCACAGCTCTCCCTGCCTCCCGTGTCCTCTTTGGCTCTGTTTTTCTGTCTCTTACTTCCTGTGTGGTCTTCAACTAGTTATTTAGACTTTCAGAGCTGTGCAGTCTGTACAATAGGGGTCACTGTGCCTTCCTTATTTTGGGGATACTTCAGAAATAGCAACTAGATCAGAGTTGATGCTCCATAGATGACAGTTACTGTTGTGAATGCCTTACAGGTTAGCACAACCAGGCTTCCTTCCTTCCTTCCTTCCTTCCTTCCTTCCTTCCTTCCTTCCTTCCATTCATCCTTCCTTCCATCTTTCCTTCCTCCTGCCTCTACCGCTCCTTCCCTTTCTTTCTTCTTTCTTTTCTTCCTTGCTCTCTCCCTCCCTCCCTCATGACCTCCCTCTCCTCCATGCAGTTGAACTACAGTGCACTTATGGTTCCTACCCTCATGGACCTTACAATCCAAATGTCCTAGTCTCTGTTTATTCCCGGGGCAATTCCACCCCCAGGGGGTCTTCTCTGTAGACCACAAGCCCAGGCCTGATCTACTCCCCCACTAGGCTGCTCCAAAAGCAAGCCTGCAGATTCTCTAGGTACTATGAAGTGCTGTCAGATCCTAGACTGACTGACTCCATTCTGTTTCACCAGTGACGTTCAAATTGGCTTTGGCATCAAAAGATTCTGCCAGGATGCCTGGAAATCTTTGTGAGGGAAGCATGTGTTAGGAAGATGGGGTCATGAGATAGGGTCCCTTGCTTAAGACAGAACAGCTCTGGTTTTATCTAATTTATATTCTGGGGTTACATGCAATACTCTGCCACGAAAGAAAACTATAAAAAACCACTCCCCTTTGCTATTAGAGGTAGGAGGAGGCAAATTTTGAGGAAATTCAGAGAAAATCTCCAGGAAAGAGAATATGTTTTCAAATTATTTTTCCAAGGTGCTAAGTGAAATAAGTCAGAGAAACACAAATAATGCACGGTATCTCTTACGTATGGAACCTTTAAAAAAAAAGGCATGAAACTCATAGAAACAGACAACAGGTTAGTGATTGCCAAGGGCTGGGGGCTGGGGAAAATAAGGAGAGGTTGGTAAAAGGGTATATTTCAGCTATGAGGTAGATAAGGTCTGAGGACCTACTGTAAAACGTGGTGACTGTAGTTGATAACACTGTATTATATAACTGAAATTTGCTAAGAGAGTAGAGCTTCAATATTTTTACTAACCCCCAAAGGTAAATATGTGTGAGTTGACAGATATGTTAATTGACTAGATGGGGGAAATGCTTTCACAATGTATACCTATGTCAAATCACAACGATGTACACTTTAAATATCTTATAATTTTATCTGTCAGTTACACTTGAACAAGGCTGAAATTTTAAGAAATTAGTTTCCAAGGAAAATGGGATTCAACTTTTGAATTACAGTAATTTGGGGAGCCCACTTGCCCCCTCACTGGTTTGTCTAATTGGGGCTGATCCCATGCTTCTGACCTTCGGCCATGTCCTGCCAATCCCCTACTCAGGATGTTGCCCTCTCTGTGTTTCAGTGCCCTGGTTCCCAAGAACCATTCAAGAGCTCGACAGATTTGCCAACCAGATCCTCAGCTATGGAGCGGAACTGGATGCAGACCACCCTGTGAGTCCCCACGTCTGTGGTCCTTCCCGTGAGATCCTTTCAGCCCACCCCTCCCCGCCCCTACTCCCCTCCCTGATCCCCAGCAATGTGTCTTCATTTGTTTGCTTGTACTACAGACATCTGGAGGGTGTCTTCTTGTACATCATCAGCACCATCATTATCATGGTCATTTTTATTGTTGGAGCAAATATGGATCGGCCTCCAGAAACTATTGTTTATGTATAATATATGCATGTAGGTGTGTGTTTGCACACACACACCTACACACACACACACACACACACACACACACACATGTAAATCATCTTTCTGGCTTTGTACAGTTAAAGAGGTTCAGTTCAAGTGTTTGGGAAACAGTAAACCACTAACAACTCTGCCAGGTACAGCAGGGCAGTGAGGAGAGGTGACATTGGAACTGGATCCCCCAAACTGAGTTGAAGATGCTGAGGGAACAGTATATGTGAAGGCTCAGAGTCCTGAAAGTATCTGGAATATTTTGGAATGGCTGGCTGGTGCATGAGGTGTGAGGGTCAGATTTTAAAAGGTCTGATATACCAGACAAAGAAGTCAGACTGCATCCCATCCCCTGTGGGCAGGGGAGCAGGTTGTTCTTTACTGGTTTCTGAGAAAAGGCCCAGGGTGGGGGGACTTTATCACCATTTTTTTGTGTGGTGCAGGGGTTTGGGGAGGGGGAGCAGCTCAGGCTGGACTCAGGGTCAGGACCAGTTCTGACAGCCTCCATAGATGAAAAGTTGCCACAGTCATATCGGCTGTCACTTACTCTCTGCCCAGGTAGGTGGCTCCTTAATCTTTAAATGACTTGGAAGCTGTTTCATTACAGTGGTTTAGTGGAACTCAGTGAGAGTGTCTGCATTTCAGCAGTTTTCTTACATCTCTGTGGGTCTTTACAGTTGAGTGAATAGTGAACTGGCTCTTCACAAAGGCTTTTTGCAGTAAGCAAAGCAGATGTTCCCATTTTACAGGTAGACTCATTGAGGCCCAGTGAGAGTAAATGGGACTTTTCCAAGGTCCCATGCTAAGCTCTGGGTTTTAAGATTCCTAATCCAGTCCTCATGGTGCCAAAGACAAAGGTCTAGCCGGTGGCAGAAACGCTGGTGCTTTCTCAGAGACAAAGAGAGACCTATTTCTGGAGTAGACTGGCCTTTTCCAATATGAACAAGTGTTGCTTATTCTAACTCAAATAGTAAACCCCTGATAGTGGACTCAAAAATACGGAAAAGCATGAGAAGAAAATAAAGATCACCCATAATTCCAGTTATTTCCCTTTTTCTCTTGGTAGTGCTCTGCATTCTTTTTTTACAACGAGAAACTATTTTAGAAACAGAGGCGAGTTCCCTCCTGACACCCACACATCAAAATTGGAAAAAATTATCCCCTATTGTCACACTGTCCGGAAACAATCAGTGTTAATTTTTTTTTTTTAATTTTTTTTTTTCAACGTTTATTTTTGGGACAGAGAGAGACAGAGCATGAACGGGGCAGGGGCAGAGAGAGAGGGAGACACAGAATCGGAAACAGGCTCCAGGCTCTGAGCCATCAGCCCAGAGCCCGATGCGGGGCTCGAACTCCCGGACCGCGAGATCGTGACCTGGCTGAAGTCGGACGCTTAACGGACTGCGCCACCCAGGCGCCCCAATCAGTGTTAATTTTAGTGTGCTCCCTTTCTCTTCCCCACATCTCTTTCCCCCTCTCTTTCTATTATTTAGAAATTAATACATATTATTAAATTATATATATCATAAAATTATCATATATATAATTTTTTGTGCATTGCCATAACTTACTAAGCAGCCCCCAATGGCAAGCATTTAGGGAGTTTCTAGTCTTTCCCTAGGACAATAGTTTGCTTGCCTGGGTATCTTGATGTGGGCTCTCCATAGCTTCCTTGATGCTTCCTTGTGAAACTACTTAGTCTAGGGATAGAAATTGTAGTTCAGTCTCCTAATATATATACTTCAGTACCTTATCCCCCCCAAAATAAAGCTGGATCCCCGTTCACCTTCCTGGGGATGGTGCAGCCTTCTCCTGTGGCTCCTGGGGGCGGCAGACCTGAGCCAAGAGAGGTTCTAGATCCCCACTGACAGGTCTTCGGCCGTGGGCCTTGGGAGCAAAGCATCCGCAAAGATATTGTTCCCCTGGAAGACCTGTCTGGCCACCTTGGCCCAGTCGATGGAAAATTAGCCCATCTTACCAGCCTCCAGACCTCCTGCCGTGACCCAAGACCCTTCTGCTGGTCACACTCACCGCTCACTTGGGAAAACGAATATGGCCAGGAAAGAGGAAAGAGGGAAGAGGTCACAGACATGGACGTTTCCCTCCCTTTATCCTTGTGTCTCCTCAGGTAGATAAGCTGGTCTTAGAATTCTCTAGAATTCATTTCTCCTTACAGACCCAGCCCCTATCTTTGTTTCCTGGCCTCTCACTGTGATGAATTTTATCATAAAAAAAACCCCATCTGTCTGGTACACGGTCCTCCCGATGAGGAGGCCAGGCTCTCTCTGTTCCTTCTTGTGGCTTTTCATCAGATCCTGGGAACTGATGGGCCAAGGACAGAGTAAACCCTCCAGAGCGCTCACAGGCCCTGGCTGCCATGTGTGAGGAGTGGCGGTGTTCTTCCCGAAAGGACCCTCTGTTCCGCTCTGTACCAGGTTCGCAGCATGCTCCCCTGCCCTTGGCAGTGTGCACTGACGTTTGACCCGATATCTCACTTCAAGGCCTCCAAAACAGCCACTCTGAAGAATGCGGCCAAGGAAGGATTGTTCCTGCCCCAGAGGGTAAAGGGCATCTGCCTGTGTGCGTTGGCCAAGTGGGAAAATAAATTAAGAGCTGCATTCCACCCCGTGCACGCTGCCTTCTTTCCTTTGTTGCCTGTGTCTCCCCTTTCTTCCTTCCCCAGGCATTTACTAAGCGAGTGACATTCATAGCAAACGTTTCTTGAGCGTGGACTGTGTGCCGGCACTGTGCTAAATGCTCTCCCTGCATTTTTAAAATTTCGGTGTTATAACCATCCATCCTGGGAGGGTTGCGCTTTCCGATTTTCAGAGAAGTCTCAGACAGAGACGGCCGTGTGGCCTCACGTATATGTGAGCCGCCTCCCAGGCTATGTAAGGGAAAGGGGGCTGAAATGATTAATGCGGCATGACCTCTGCCCTCCTGGGGCCTCCAGTTGTGGGGTGGAGAGAAAAGGGGTGTCCGCTCTTCCCAAAGGGGTGCCAGAGGTGACAGGGACACAACTGTAAGCTTGGTAGACAGAATCCAAGTGGTCTGTTTGATTTCCGTTCTCACACGGACTCTTTCTCTGCCTGTTCCCCAGCGTCTGTGGTCCTGTCCCTGTTGTCTCCTTCACCTGGGGTAATTTTCCTTATCCTCTCACCTGTTCTTGCCCTGCTGGCAAACCTCTATTCGTTTTCTATGGCCTAGCTCATATGCTGGCCTCCCTGAAGACGTCGCTTCCACTGGCCCCTTCCCCAGGCTAAGTTTTCTGACACTGATGTCATAGAACTGTGTGTGCTGTGTTTTATACTTTGAGCACAGACTGTCAGAGAAAAATAAATTCACTTCCTCATGACTTGTAAAGGCATAAGACAGATACACGCACACACACACACACACACACACACACATACACACACACGTGAAAGGGTCATATGCATGTTTCCCAAACTATAATCTATGAAAAAAATTTTTTTCATGATCAAAGGGAGAAACAGTATATGCTAAAGCCCCATTTGAAGCATATGCAAGTCCCGTGATCTCATTAGGGATGTTGGAAAGTCCCGTAAACATGAACTCGTTCAACCTAATGTTTCTCAAACTTTTTTTTACTGATGGAACCCCTTTTTAATGGCATACCTAGCGATATTATCTAAAATGGTAGTGTTCCATGGAACGCAGTTCAGGTAATATTTAGTTTAAATCATAAGACACAAAAAGTAGACGATTAAACACCAGGTTTAATGAGTCAGATGGCATGTACTATCACTGTGGACCGGAATGGTTAGGGAGGACTTCTGGAAAGAGGGAGAGGTGAGTGGAGTCTTCTAACAACTAGGGTAGGCTAACCGCTGATCAAACAATCCCCGAATCACCATGGATTAACTGAAGGTGTATTTCCAGTGTAAGCCAGTAGGGAGATTTCTCCATACAGTCTTGCAGAGACTAAGCCCCTCCCACTTCAGGGCCATACCTTCCTCCAAGTCTCAGAACCTTTCTTTTTTTTTCTGCCAGCACCTGGGAAGAGAGAGACAATTGCTCCCAGGAGGTTTCTGTGGGCCATGTCTGGAGGTGACTCACATCCTTCACTCAAATTTCATTGACTGCAGCCCAGTCACATAGCCGCTAGGAACTTCAAAGAAGACTGAGAAATGTGGGTTAGCAATGTTCTCTGAAAGAGGGAGGAGACACAGGCCTTCGGGAGCACCAGCAGCCTTGGCCACACAGATCCTAACCCCAGAGCTCCCTATGCCAGCTCCACTGGCACCTACACCAGTGTCTAGACTGAAGATTCACATGAGGGGGTGCTTTCTGGTGGAGAAAATATCAATCCGCAGTACTGTGCATCTGTGTTATTTCTTCTACTATCCAAAGGTCTCAAACTGTTTTTTAGTCTTTCAGATGTAGGTACGGAGTTTCTCTTCTCTCCAGAAAGAGCCTTGCTCTTCCCTGAGTGGAGGGCTATCATTCTAGTCCTCTCCTCTTCCTTTCTGCCAATTAAAATTCTCCACCCGAAGGCCCCATTAAAGTCTATTCTAAAGATGTCGGCCAGTTATCAAAGACTTGTGGCCCTCCTACTAAGTTGCTCTGTCCAAACATAATTTTCAAAAAAGTAAAAACAACTATCATGCAGGTATATAGTCAACATCGGTCAAAAATCTATTAGCTCAGTAGCGAGGGAACCAGCAAGATGACGATGTTGGTGCAAAGGAAGCTATAAGAGACTAAATTATGGATGGTCATTGAAAAATTGAGTGCTGGAGCAA